GGGCTACACAGAGAAGCCCTGTCTCCGTAAAAAAAAAAAAAAAAAAAAAAAAAGCTTATTTTATTTAAATGTCTGTGGGCTCACGTATATATGGAGGCCAGAGGTCCACTTCAGGTGTTATTCAGGTGCCAGTTTATATCTGTCTGTCTATCTCACACAGAACAACTTGGAAGAATCAGTACCAGGAATCATTCTCAAGTGGTCAGGTGTGGCTTTTATCAGCTAAGCCCTCTAGCTGACTACACTGTATTTTCTGAGGAGTCTTTCATTGGCCTGCATGGAACTTGCTAAGTAGGTTAGGGTGACTTGGGTCCAGTGAACCCTAGAGATACTTGTCTCTTTTGACTCAGTGTTGGGATTACACAGTTCCTTACCCAGTTTTTTATGTGCCAGGTGCCAGGATTAAACTTATGTCCTTACATATGTACAGCAAATACTTCACTGTGACTCAGCCATCTTAGACTTTTAGTTTTTGAGACAATGTCTTGCTATGTCACTCATATTGGCTAGGAACTCTCGATAGCACAGCCTTCCTGTAGACCCCTACTATTCATCACTGTGCCTGACCTTTTCACTGGACTTAAAGGCAATGAGGCCCTACTTAAAATAAAAGTTTTTTTTAAAATGTGTATTTGTTTATTATCATTAAAATAAAAGTTCTAAATTGTTCTCAGTACTATATCTTAGCTGTATTTGTCTCCTATTACTGTAAGAAAACACTTGAGGCTGGGTAATTTGATAAAAAAAACTTGCTTAGCTCAGTGTTTTAGAGGCTGAAAGTTCAAACAGCAACAAGGGTCCCACATCTCCCTGGTTGCCTTGCATCATGGCTGGAATGTTTTGGGAGGGAAAAAGAAATCACATTTCCAAACAGGAAGTAAAAACATGACTCGGAGGTTAGATTAGATGTTTTTTCCCTTTGAAATACTTGTTTTCACAAGAATCAACTTAGAGTTCTGTACAAGCAACCTAATCCTTTATAAAATGATACCACCCTTAACCTAGACAACTCCTGTTATGTCCAACCTCTTCAAGGTCTCACCACTTCCCACCACTGTCACATTCCTAATCCCAGACTTAGAACACATGAGTCCTTGGAGTCAAAGTGCAGTTGAATCGTATTACTAGGTGGTTTATTTTCTGTTTGTTTTGTTTTCACTTTTGTTTCTACTTTTTCAAGATAGGGTTTTTCTGTGTAGCTCTGCTGTCCTGAACAGGCTACCCTCAAACTCACAGAGATCCGCCTGCTCTTTTCTCCTAAGTGCTGGGATTAAACATGTGTGCCACCATGCCTAGGTGGTTATTTATTTTATTTTCTGTCTTTCAAGTTTGTGTGATCCTTGGCTCTTAAAAAGTTGGCTTGCATATTATAACCAATAAATTGCAGTTTTGTTCCTGTAAACTTTGTAAATAGAGACTAACTTGTTTTGCTGTTATCTTTGTCCATTGACAGTCTGAGGATGATGAGAAGCTGAAAAAACGGAAGGAGAGATTTGGGATTGTGACAAGTTCAGCTGGAACTGGAACCACAGAGGATACAGAGGTGAACTTTATTTAGAATGCTTCATAGAGCTAGTAATAAAATCAAACAATAACAACAAAACAAAAAACAGACAGAATTGTCGGTGTAAGCACACACACAGGCACACATGCCCTTGAATGTCAAAGCTTCTGTGTGAAGGTCAGAGGAGAACTCTGGAGAGTCATTCTTGATTATATGTCCTAGAGATTGAGCTCAGGTTGTCCAGCTTGCTTCTCATTTCCCTAGTCCTCTATAGAGCTCTTAAAAGAAGACATTGAGAGGAAAGGCAAAAGAACCTCTATTTCCATAGCCTACCTTTTCCCGTATTAATGTAATATCTTTAATACTCCTTTGAGAGTTTTATACAGTGTGTTTTGATGATATTCACCACCAGTTCCTTCCAGATCTACTCACTTCCTACCTCTCTACAAAACCCCCCAGAGTTCTTCATATACTCACAGGTACCAGGGCCATCGGATGGACTCATAGGGCCATCCACTGGAGTCATTCAGGAACTTGTAAAGAAAACTGGCTCTTCTGCCAGGCAGTGGTGGCGCATGCCTTTAATCCCAGCACTTGGGAGGCAGAGGCAGGCAGATTTCTGAGTTTGAGGCCAGCCTGGTCTACAGAGTGAGTTCCAGGACAGCCAAGGCTATACAGAGAAACCCTGTCTCAATAAGAGAAAAAAAAAAAGAAAGAAAAAAAAAAAAAAGAAAACTGGCTCTTCCCCCAGAAGCCATTAACTCTTAGTACCTCTTCAGTTAGTGTGGAGAATGCTTGAACTTCTTCCTGCTCCATGCTGGAATGTTTACTAGCTTGATTTTGTGCAGAGCTTATATGGGCAGCCATAGCTGCTGTGTGAGTCATGTCAAAAGGACACCGTTCTCTGACCTCTGTCTCTTACTGTCTTTCTGCCCCCTCTTGTACAATGGTCCCTGAGCATCGTGGATGTTCCATTATAGATGCCATTTGTGGCTGAGCACTCCACAGGCACTCTCTACACTTTGATCAGTTGTGAGTTTACTACCATCCATTGTACAGAAACCCTCCCTGTGATGAGGTCTAAAGGCTAGACTACAGGTAGGCAGAGAGAGAGGGATTTGAAGGTGATGTGATACTGTGTCCCTTTAGCGGAAGAATAGTAGTGGATTCATTCCTAAGGTCTGTGAGTGCTCCAACCACGGGCTTCTGGTCAGATTTACAGTACTAGGTATGCACTGGTGTTGTACGTACTGTGGGATGGGCTTAAATCCAGTCCATGGGCTCTTAACCACTCTAGCCAAACTTCTTGCTTGGGCACTTAAGTAGGCTAGGCATAGGCTGCTAAACAAAAAGCCTAATGTTTTTGTTTCTTTATTAAATAGTGTTTTTTTATATCGTATGTTTTGATCATATTCTTTCCCCTCTCCCAACTCCTCCCAGATTTTCCCCAACTCCCTACTACCTGTGTTGTATGTTCTTTCTCAAACGCTAACAAAAATTAAAAAATAAAACAAAAAATATCAATTAACCAACCAACCAAAAGACCCCCATGTAATCTGTTTTGTGTTGGCTACGTACTCTTGGGCATGGAGGTTGTCCTGGAGTGTGCTTGATATATCTAGAGACAGTCCATTAGAGAAAACTGAATTTTCCCTTCCCAGCTTGTATCAATTGCAAATAGCTTCTTTTATTTGTTGGGATGGGTTGGAGTGAGACAAAGTTTCTCTGTGAAACCCTAGCTGTCCTGGAACTCACTCTGTAGACCAGGCTAGCCTCGAACTCTCGAACTCAGAAATCCACCTGCCTCTGCCTCCCAAGTGCTGGGATTAAAGGCGTGTGCCACCACTGCCCGGCTGGAGATAGTGTTTTAAAAATGAATGTTTTGGAGCTGGAGAGATGGCTCAGCAGTTAAGAGCACTGACTGCTCTTCCAGAGGTCCTGAGTTCAATTCCCAACAACCACATGAGGGCTCACAACCATCTGTAATGGAATCTGGTGCCCTCTTTTGGTGTGTCTGAAGAGAGCGACAGTGTACTTCTATACATAAATAATTCTTTTTTTTTTTTTTTAAAAAGAATGTTCTTACTCCGAATCTTGGAAAGGTTTTTGATTTTGTTTTATTTTCTTCCCCTGGTCCACTGTGCCTGGTATCTCTGTGTCCACTGTGTGTGTGCAGATGTGCATGTAGAACATAAAGGTTCTACATAAATGTTGAGTGTTGCCATTTCTTTTTTTTTTCTTTTTTTTTTTTTGAAATGGTCTCTCACTGAACTTGTAGCTCACTAGGGAGTTAGGCTGGCTCATTAGTGAGCTCCAGGATTCTGCCCATCTTCCCTTACTCAGTGATAGGTTATAGGCATGTGGCAATCTGCCCAGCTTTTATGTGGGTCCTGATGGTTGTTTATACAATAAGCATTTTACCGTTTGAACCATCTTGCTGTTCCCTAAAGTTTCTTTATAAATAAACATATATGCCATGAAGATTATAGATCAAGGCCTGGAGAGAGAGCTCAGCAGTTAAAAGCACGTGTTGCTTTTACAGAGCACCTGTGTCCAATTCCTCATCTACATGAGGCACAGAACATGTATGCAGACAAACAGTCATGTACATAAAATAAATAAGGTCAGCTTATGCTTTCACTTTAAATTGTAGATTTTGTGCTACCGAAATAAAATACTATTTATAGGTAATACCTGCTTATTTACTGATTTAGCAAGATGCACTTACTTCTTCTGATTAGCATGCGAGTTATTACTAAGCCAGGTATTTCACTAAGTGGGTACATTGGCTTCTCCTTCCTTATTAAAGGGTGGTAGAAACAATGGCTTTGGTTGGAAGTCATGGTCTATAAGAGACTAGTAGCTTCTGAAGCCAGTGCAGTTTATGTGGACCAAAGACTTTGAAGTGTATTCTGCTTTAAAACAAAAACCAAAGAAACAAATGAAGGAAGAAAAGAAAGAAATCTGTATTAAACCCGCAGTGCGAGTTCACTCCAGAAAAGTTGCCTGTGTTCTGGGCAGTAGTTGAAAATGAAGGTGAAGGTCGTCACAAGTTTCTTTTCCTCAGCCACACGTGATAGACTGTGTGCCCGCTTTCCAATACTCCTTTCTTTGAGATCCATAATGTACATAACTTCTGAGCCTCATTGTACTCACCTACTAGTGGTGCTACTGTGTGACCCTGGTGATTGAGTAGATATCTAAAAGTGATTAGGAGTATCAGTCATGTTTAGAGGCATGATATATCGCACTGCTTTACAACATGGGAGCTGCCAAATAATAAATGAATATCTGAGGGGATTCAGACATGAGAGAGAAGGCTTGATTTGAGAGAGAGAGAGAGAGAGAGAGCGCCATACCTTTCCTTTTCCAGCTGATTCTCTTGGCATTGAAGAGTGAGCCTCTCTGTCTCTCTGTGGATGGTAGTGTTTAATCCTTTGTCCTCTAAAGTCTCCCATTTTCCTACTGATTGTAAGGAACTCTACATTTTTCTGCCATGCTTTTCTTCACCCTTTCTTCATTCCCTTAACTCACTTTCCTCCTTATCCTTTGTTTGATTAACCTTATGTATATGTGCGGGTGTGTTTAACCTTATGTATGTGTGTGTGTGTGTGTGTGTGTGTGTGTTTAACTTTATGCTATATGTGTGCCTGTATTTAACCTTTTGCTATATGGGTCTATTTAACCTTATGTATATGTGTGGGTGACTGTGTTTAACCTCATACTATATGCGTGAGTGGCTCTATCTGCCTTCAGCCTCTCACCTTTCTTTTTCACTAAGCCCCGCCAGTTCTGACTGGATAACTTGAGGGATTCTGGAATAAAGTCTCTGGCTTGAAGTCAGGGCCAGGTCTTCTTGGGCCTTTTGACAGTTAATTCGGGTTTGGTTTAAAAGATTCCAGGAACTTAACCTGCTATTATTTTGCAATCTAATTTTTTTTTCTTCTTGCTTTTTGTTACAGGCAAAGAAAAGAAAAAGAGCAGAGCGTTTTGGGATTGCATAATGAAAAGTTCATGCTTTCTGCCTCATAGTGGTTTCCATTTCTCAAATTTTTCTTGGTTTTATATATACAGATACACACACGCACACACACACAAAACCCTACCTATCTTCCTACATACACAGTCATGTACCTCACAGTGAGGAAGCATGTACGTTTGGTACATCCTTGAATTCAATAGCAGTTTTATTTAACTGCTCTTCTGCATTTAAGATTGTTGTGGTTTTTGTTTTTAATTATTTTTGCTTATTAATAAAAAAGGAGGAAAAGAAAATGTGTTTATTAGGTGTTCCTTTTAAGTTCCTAGAACCTGATCAGACCACATAGAGGGAGTATCAGTAGCAAATATTAGGGGGAACTAACTGTAATGCCTTTATCCTGTAGAAAAAGAAGATAAGGAAGAGGATTGGGTCTACCATTTAAGCCTATTTATTATCTTCTTCATACTCCAGATGTGCTTTTATTTTATCTTTCATAATGAGACCAAGTCACCCCGAGTCTTTGCTTGGGTTGAAGCAACCCATTCTGATAACATGGAGAAAAGCCTTGGGGATTTTAGGAAACATAAAGGATAAAATGTGGGGCTAATGATGGGTTGCCTTCTACTTTGAAGCCTAACTGTATAAAACAGAATCCCTGTTTTCCAGGGTGGCCTGACATGGTCCTGTTTGTTTAGCAGAAGTCACTGTGTGGGACCTAGCTCAAGAAGGTAAATGGGCTGACCACACCTCAGGTCTAAGTATAGAAATCCAAAGCATGACTAGGTGTCAGAGATGTTAAGCATTGTTGGGACAGAAGTGGAACAAGATGCCTGGATGGGTGTGTGTGTGTGTGTGTGTGTGTGTGTGTGTGTTCCACCCCCATCCCAGTTCTGAGGATGAAGCACAGGGCTTGTACCTTCTGGATAAGTACATTACTACTGCACAATGGTCCCAATCTTGTTTCCACTTTGTAGTCAGGCTCTGTGCTAGTTCGTTCTCATCTCTTAGAGTTACAGTGGTGGCATGTCTTGGATGACGTTAAATTTCCTTACTGAGTCACCTCCTTAGGGATGGTTTGGCTCTGAGCAGATTGCTTGTTCTCTGTGTAGATATGAAATCTGCCATTTGGCCTTTTTGATCTGTTAATATAAGTTCTCTTCCATATACCTTCCTTTTTTCTCCTGTTTTGTTTTATTTATTTATTTATTTATTTATTTTGTCTTTTGCTTTTGTTTTGTTTTGAGACAGATCACACTGTAGCCTGGTTTGGGATATGCTGTGTGTGTAGCCTTCTTGGAACTGTGATTACAGACAAGCACCACCACACCTGCCTTGGCTTTCTCGTTCTAATCCCTATATTTCAGTATTAATAAATGCTTCCTTTGGGAGATTTCTTTGGAAAGGTCATAAAAGTTCCCTTATTTGAAAACTTTGAGTGGGGCATTGGTAGAGCACACCTTTAGTCCAACCACTTAGGGAGGCTAGGGGGGTGAGGCAGGCAGATGTCTGAGTCAAAGCTAGCCTGGTCTACAGAGTGAGTTCCAGGACAGTCAGGGCACAGCTGTAATCACAGCACTCATGGAGCACGGGCAGTTTCAAAGCCAGCTGCTGCATATTCTCTGGCTCCTAAGAAAGGTGGAAACCTAAGTTTAGATACTTTAGGAAAATTTCTATGGAGAATAGATGAAAGGTTGCCCACTAATTGTGAAATTTGTTTCTGCTGAAACTTTGGGAATAGAAGAAAAAGTTGATGTTTTGTCACCACCTCAGTCAAATGTTGGGATGACTCTCTTCCCATCAGGCTGTGAGCCTCCTCACCCCCTTTTTTACGTAAGACTATATAACCTCTCTGCAGTGTCTTCATCTGAAAACAACCATAGAAAGTTGCTGTTTTGTTTCAGGAGACAGAGCATAGATTCAGTAGTAGGTATATCCTAGGATGGCTTTGCATAACTAAATATTGATGGGACAAAGTAGATGCTGGTAATTGAATATAGCAGTGGGGGCCCTTAATGTGGACTGTTTTGCTTGTTTGAGACAGGATTTCTCTATGTAGCCCTGGTTGTCCTAGAACTCCCTATGTATACCAGGCTGGCCTTGAGCTCATAGACTTACTTGCTTCTGCCTTCTGAGTACTCTGCTTCAGTGTAATCCTTATCTCTTTATCCTCCATAGCCTTGCAGAGACATATTCAGCTCAACCTAGGATTCTATGCACTCCCCAACCCCCTCATTTTGAGACAGTGTTTCATGGTTATAATCCAGGCTGGGTTTGACTTCACAGCATCCTTCATCGTCAGCCTCCTGAGTACGAGGATTACTAAAATGTGATGACTACTGTGCCTGGCTAAGAGTGTGGGTGTGGGTGTGTGGGTGTGTGTGTGTGTGGGCAGGTATGTGTGCATGTTAAGGCCGGAGGATGCATCAGATTTCATCTTTATTGAGCACCATTTAATTTATTGAGACAGAGCCTGGAGCTAGCCAATAATTTCCAGTGATCTACCTGTCTCTAACTCCCAGTTCTGGAGTTACAGACAAATGCTTTTTATGTGAAGCCAGGAGTCCAAACTCAGATTCTTTACTGAGCACCAGGCATTTACAGACTAATCCGTCTCTTTTGAGCCTCCTCTGTTAAGGCATAATCATTGTCTTTACTTAGTTTTCTTTGCCCAACTTTTTCAAAATAAAACAACAAGGTCTGATTTTGTTTCCCTGACCTGCCTCAAACTCAGATCCACCTGCATGTGTCTGTTGAATGCTGAGATTACAGGTGTGGACCACTGTGCTTGGCTTTTCCCAAATGTTTTATGGTGCTTTTCAAATGTATAGGGTCCCTCCCTCCCTCCCTCCCTCCCTCCCTCCCTCCCTCCCTCCCTCCCTCCCTTCCTTCCTTCCTTCCTCCCCCCCTTTTTCCTAGCCCTTTGTTCCATCTCTTTGATTGTTCATACATTGGTCAGAAGATCGTTCTAACTCCTAAGCCTGAGCCCTCTTCTATCTCATTGTGGTCAATTCCACAGCGAGCACAAACAGTTCAGAATAGCTATGTGCCTCCATTTTGTTTGACTAGGCAGACATTTAGGTTTAGAGTTCTCTCTGGGATCCAAGCACCAAGGCACCCATCCTTCTTCATCACCCAGTCGCAAGCTGCAACGAGAGCTACACTCCTCAGCCGTGAGTCTCCTTTTTATAGTTCTCTATGTCATCATCCGAAAGTGTCGTTTGCTCTGCCAGCTTTGCGAACTGCTAAGTAGAAGGCTGGAAGCTTCTGTAGGGATGAAGGCTGTAGGAAGGCAGGTATAAGAACAGAATTTCTCGTTTGAGTCTTTAAGACTTGTTATGTCAGACATGAGATGAGGAGGAGGGAATTCAGATAGTTGAGACAGTGTAATTTTTTCTAAACCACTTTCTTATATGAGGCTTCTGACAGACAGTGGCACTTATTTTCTGATTATTAATCCCTTCAAAATTAAACCTTTTTAAAAATTATTACACAAAGGTCTCTTTGTAGCCCTAGCTATCCTCAGTGTAGCTGAAGATGGCCTTAAATTTCTGGGTCTTGGGCTGGAGAGATGGCTCAGAGGTTAAGAGCACTTACTGCTCTTCCAGAGGTCCTGAGTTCAATTCCCAGCAACCACATGGTGGTTCACAACCATCTGTAATGGGATCCAATGCCCTCTTCAGGTGTGTCTGAAGACAGCTACAGTATACACACATACATAAAATGAATAAATAATTCTAAAAAAAAAATTTCTGGATCTTATTTCTGCCTCTCTCATGTTGGGATTACAAGCCTGTGGCTGCATGGCAGGGTTTTGGTGGTGAGTAGAAACTCCATGTATGCTAGGCAGGTGCTCTTACCAGTTATACTGCATCCACATTCCTAGCCTCTATCTTGTTCTTTCTTCAAAGACGTTGGAAAAGGTTTCATACTATCCCAACACTTTGAGTGCAAGTTGTTTCTCAACTTTCTCACTTTCTGTGGTGTGAATTCTGTTTTCCACCTTTATCTTTTAGCAACAGATTACATTAGATTAAAACATAATGTTGTATGTTACCTACTTAGGTTTGATTCCTTGTTCTACCTTACGACCTCTGAATTCTCATTGGACACATTGCTTAATTGCTCTGGCTTCCCAGACTCATCAGTAGAAACCCTGTTGTGAGGCTGCTGTGAGAATTAAGTGGTGCATCGTGCTCCAGCACACATCCCTCATGTAGTCTTCACAGTGTTTGTGTTAGCTTTGATTGAGGTCTAGGATAAGTGAGGACATCCCCTCAACATACTCCCACAAATAGATAGAACCTAGAAGATGTGGGTGGGGTGGGTGGTGACCGGAGAAATCTGGGCCTTTGCATATACAAGTACACCTGTTTATGTGGTTGGGCTTTTTTCTGAGAAGAGGCCCGGGCCCCGCTTATTCTCATCGCCAGGAAAGCTTTGGCATAGAGGGCCAGGTGGTACATTGAATCCTGGGACTCAAGCAAGTCTCTTGCCGCCCCTGACTCTGCCTTGTGAATTATGCTGTAGGCACGTGGGAAGCTTTTTTTTTACATAGTAGACTCAGTGATGGAAACATTTAACTACGATGGGGAGCTGACAGTTTGTATTTCGGTAGTACTGTTAAGGCACCCAGAATGAGAGTACTGTAAAATAGAACTCTGGCTGGACCCTTTCAACATGTAAGACTTTTCATTCTGTGGGGCTAGGCGTACTTGGAGTCTTTGGGACTATGACATACCCAGCTCTGTGAGGAGTTCTAAGCACCCTCAGTTTCCCATCCTCAGCCCATTCTCCAGCACCAAGTCCCAGCCACCATCCCCCACGCCTGAGTGAGTATTCCTCATCTTGTCAGTCAGAGCCAGCCTCCTCAGCTCTTGGTCTCCCTGGTGTGGATGTGATGCTCGATGGGGAGAAGAGCTCACCACTGAACTATTAAACTCTTTTGACTGCTTTTATTTTTCCTTTTTCAGGTTCAAGTGCTGGATTGTGTCATGTGACCGTCCCAAAACTCAGAGCACCCTTTGGCCATCTTTGCCCTCTGTCACATAACTTGAAAACTGCCTGATGGCCTTTTTGCAATGGTTCCTTCCTGGAAACCTTGATTTCATTAAAGAAGTCCTTTCCTGGCATTCCACTGCCCATGTCAGCCCATACTCCTCAGACACCCTTAACAAAGGCAGCCACACACGTGATGTAACAAATTACACAAAGTAAAGAATTACACGAGTCATATGTTCAGAGGAGCACTGGCCAGTCCACACAGGTAGTGTGGGAAGAGGTGCCAGCTCCCACT